GGGAAAGCTTTTCTGTTTCTTTTCTCGTAATTGAAAAGTCAGAGGACAACTTGTTGACATCTATCCCCCAGTCCAGATGTTTTTATCAGCAAGGGTAACCTGGCACTGCCTTCTAGAGAGTTCTAGGAAGTTTCACAGCTCACATCAGAAAGGGGCTGGGTCAGGGCAGGTCAGAGCAGGTCCCTGCCCCCAGTGACCTTGATCGGCCTGGGTAGGACAGTGTTCCTACTGTGTCCTTTTCCAGGCAGTGGGGGTGGGTTGGCTTCGGGGATGCGCTGCTGCTCCCTGGGGGCCTCATAAGAACCACACTCTTAGCGCTGCTGATGATCATGAAAGTACCATAAAAAATTTAACTCCCGGGAGCCGGAGGCACAGGGGCGTCTTCTCTGTTGTCCAGGGAATTAGTAACCCTATATGGCAGCATGGGTTTTGCGGGTGGTCTTTAGAAGCTAAAATAATTCTCTACATAACATTATTCATTCAACCAACAGCTAAGTCTGCCCTGCCGAGACTGGCTGTGATCTGCCCACGATGGCCCAGGACCCATATGTCTGGCTGGGGGTGGGGGTGGCAAAAGGACAGCATTGTGTGTCCTTTAAACATGAAAAGGACACATGCTTATTGTAGAAATGTTGTATGTGGTGGGAACGGCACTGGGTGTTAGTCTGGTGAGGTCAGACCGGACCTGAGTTCAGCGACCTCGGTACTTGGGTTCTGGCTGGGAAAGAATTCAGAGCCAAGCCCTAAACTATAAGAGAACATTTATTTGGTAAGTTGCAGAGGTAGAAGTAATTTCTAGAAGAAATGGGCTTAGGAAACAAGTTATAGAGGCAAAAGAAGAGCCCTTGGAGCTTGGGAGTGAGGAAACTAGGCTAATGTGTGGGGCGGGGGAAGGCGACATGTTCCCAGGAGGAAGAGGGCTGGGTCCTCAGTCCTAATGGTTTTAAGGGAGCTCCCAGGGAAAGAGCTCATTGTAATATTCAGCAGCTTTTCAGGTGTGTCCTTTCAGGGTTGTGGTCTCCACTGGTTGATTGGTTAGCGCCAAGGTGGGGTGGGGGTGGGGGGGTCATTATCCAATGCAACTGGTCCTGAGGTCAGCCGTGGCTGGTTTTGCTGCTTTTCTGGGCCTGGAGCTGGAACACAACTGAGGCCTAGATGTTATCTCTAGGGAGGAAAGGTCAGGGAGTCCAAACTGCTTGACCAGCGATATGCTAGGGGTGGAAAGGCGACCCTGGGGGTGAGGACTCACCCTACAATTGTCCATTGCTTGGCATCCAGGGCTTTCCACTTTGATGACCTTCTGTACCTGGCCCATCATCCTTGCTCTGCTCATGTCTGTTTAACTGCCTATCACAGAAACAGAGGAAAACAGAGGTAGATGGAAGAAATACCGTGATGCCACAAGACCCCTGCCTATTCACAGTGGGGCTCAGTCTTCATACAGCCTCAGTGATGGGGATGCCCAGTTGGAGCAGATCCCTCCCGCGGAGCCTGCCTGGGATTCTGGGGCTGTTAGCCCTGGGCCTCCGGGGCCTGGGAAAGGAGCCATGGGGTGACCTTGCGTGTGATGGCTCCAACAGGTAGGGCTTATTTCCTCTCTGGGTGTGTAGAGGTGGGTGCTGCCCTCCACATGGAGACTCAGGGTCCAGGCTCCCCTGGGTGGCTCTGCAGGAGGGGCGGCCCAGGCAGACAGACCTAGTGGGGCCTGGGGTCAGTGCCAGGCTCTGCTGCTACCCCAGCTGGGAGTCCAGGTGGACGGGATGCCTGAGGCCCCAGGTGGGTCTTTCTGGCCCACAGGGGTGTGAGGGGCCAATAGCAGGTGGCTGGGACTGCAGAGCTACTGGGAGGTGTCTGGGACATCTCTGTGAACTGCTGCTTTTAGGAACAGCAGTGGGGGCCCTGTTCTCTCTCTGCTCTGGCTGCTGTTGCCTGTTATGTGAACACAGTCCCTCCTATGTGGAGTGTCTCACATGCAGGACCTGTTCCGGGCACCCTGACTCGCCCTCCGCACATGCACTGCCACAGCAAGGCTGAGCAGCCCCACTCATAGGGTGATGAGTGCCTCAGAGGGGCTGTGAGCCCCAAGGGTCAGGTGGATGGAGGCACAGCTCCTGGTGCCCTCAGTGATTCCTGGGAGGGGAAAGGTTCCCCAAGTACAACAGCTCTGCTGGCTTTT